GCCTACTTTTCCCAAGCAGCGTTAAACGATTTCTTCTGCTGGACAGTATTAGCTGTTTTATTTGCTTATTCAACTCGAGAATGTGAATACATGTATGTTTATTCAGATTGTACAGTCACAGACAACTCAGTGATGCAAAGGACAGCTCCATAATTGTGCTCGTGGGGCAACAGATGATTTCTGATTCGCCCTCAGACATCTCATCATTACCAGGGGGAGGACAGACGGAACTTCAATCATTCATTTTTTTTTTTTCTGTCGTCTTCTATGATTGATTTTTCTTTGCTAACCCTCTGAGTCAGAAATCTCTCCCTTTACCACACGAGGGTGTCAACAGGAAAGCCCAGACCTCATTTGACTTAAATACGCTTTTGTTGTCAAGCTGTGCGGCAGCCATGAAGACAGTCCTATTCAAAGATGTAGTACAGGCTAGGGGGTCAGGTCATTAGTGTCAAACAAGTGATTGCCTTGGTCTTCTCCTCTTTAAATCTTGGCAGAGTTTCATTTGGAGCTGTGAGACAGCAGGGTCTGGTCTGGGCTGCTGTTACACTGTGTTTGGGTTGAATAGCAAAGAAACCAACCAATAGATGCATGCACCTTTAATAGGATTGGGCGGTATCTGTTTTGTCCTGATGTGACTTTTTGCTATGCTACAAAAGACTTGTTTATTTATTTATTTATTTGTTTTTTTTAAAGCACAACCAACTGCATTAACGCTTCATACAAGTAGTTCCATTGCTCTGTAGCAGGGGTGCCCAACCTTTTTTGACCGAAGATCAAATTTTCGAGCCAACCAACCTTCCGCGATCGACCGCTACCGCACACGCTTGCTATGATGAGCAACAGCCATAACGGCAACTAACATGAACGAGACAGCGGCAATTGTTGCACAAATACTCCTCACAGAAATAGAAAGTAACGTTCTAAAACAAACAAATATCCATCACTGTAGACAGACCAATATGTTGGGGTATCCTGGGTCATTTTCAGGAACACTAATCACCTTATTACAAGCCCTTGTGCTGTAGAAATGAATTTGAAACTCATTTTGTTTATTATTTCTTCATGAGGAATTCAAAGTGAAGTGAGTCGGATGAATTTGATTTCAATTTGCGTTACCGACTTTGCGTCGTCTCCCTATGAAGGGCTACCATACCATTGTCGATCTCACATGGAGGACACATCCATACCGCCCAAGCCCAGCGATTGAAAGTAAATGAAATCAATTTCTGTGATTGATAGACGCTGCCTGTTTCTTTTTACCGATCAGTGCCGATTAGTATTTTGATTGCTCTACGCAGTTGTTCATTTGCATGCGTTGCGCGTGTGTCTATCAGTGATGTCTGCGAGATGTAAAATTGCTTACTGACAGCTATGGCGATTGATGTTGAGACTAACACAGGTTGTTTTTGAGGGGTGAGTTGTTTTATTGGTCTGTTGTGTGGCGCTCACAAATGTTTGCCATTGTGTCCTGCTGCAGACTCGGCAGTGGTGCCGGAAGAAGGCGCAGGCGTGACAACTGCACACACCCCAACCGACTGGCTAGAAAGCGAGGAATTCGAACCTATGCCGTCTGATCCCATCTTCATTTCTGCTGATAAATTTTCAAAAGCTCCACTGGCCGGAACACTTAGTAGGGTCAGTATGAAAAAGATAAAAGTGCAAGGTATGATTTTAAATAATGAAAGCTTCCTTACGCTTTGTCCCGCAGTCCTCCTCCACCTCTAGTCAAGAGGATGAAAAGTCCACTTTGGAGGAAGTGAGTGAGGGGGCCATCCCCATTGATCAGCCAACTCAGGGGCTCTCCACCCCTGGCAGCCAGGAACTCCTCTTCCAGGGCACCAACCAATCCCAGGGTCATGGACTCAATAAGTCCAGCTCCTCACCGGAACTTCAGACCTTATCAGAAGCCTTCTCCAAAGTGACTCTGGAGTCGGAGACCGCGCTAGGAGATGCAGCCCAGACCAGAGGGCCTTCCGAAGCCAAGGCCCAGCCGCCCGCTGAGCGGGAGAGTGCAGGCGGAGACCTCAATGGATTCACAACACAGACGCAAATGGTGGAAGGCTCCTCCTCATCAGGGCCTCCTCAAAGTGGAGCGGCAAGAATGAAGTTGGAGTTTCCACCAAGTGGAGCGCAGCCGGGACCCATATCCCCCAGCGGGGGTCACAGACCACGAGGGCACACCATCTCGGTATCGGCGCCTTCTTCCAGGAGAGAGAGGAGGACTGAGAGAGATTCATACCACAGTCGACCTGGACCCAGCAACACTGAGAAGACGTCTGGGCTGTGCCCGAGGTACTGTGCCGAGACAATTGCCACTAGGCTGCAGAAGTGAGCAACAGGAGGCACAAGTCATTGATCACCAATCCAAATTCAGCCATGTTCTGGCACGTGCATGGTTTGCGCATTTAACAAAACTAATAGTTGGCAAATCATAAAATAAGACACAAAACGCATCTTTTTACTAACCGGCAGGCACACAACAAACGACTCTAATGGAAATATATTCCCTATGTTGAGTTTGTGACAGCTAAAGATGAACATTTTAACGTTGATTTACTGTCAACAAAGGGTCATCTATCTAGCTATCTCTCTATTGATCTATCAATCTATCTATCTCTATTTTTCTATCTATCTACACACACACCACTTACTGTATGTTCACTTTTAATATAACAATTATTTATGTTTAATCAAAAAGGCTGCCTTTATTTTATTTCAAATAAAAACGCTATCCCTACGCATCACAGTTAACAGTGCACTTCCAATAAAGTATGTGCAAAACCAGTTGCCATTTTAATGTTACGCGGAGGTGTCAGCGTCTGATGAAAGTAATTTATAATCTACTCTAGTTAATTTTAAAATTAATTGGTTACTTTGTCAGGGTCATTGTGGCAACAGTGCTTGTCACAATAAATTGTATTCCGGGAATGAAAAGCGTTCATGGATGTGACTGTTCAGGTTTTGTGACCTCCACTTTTTATCTCATCCATTATTTCAGCTTTGTGTTCCTCCAGCTGTACCACTCGCCTTTCTTTGGGAATGAAGCCAACAAGCCGTTGCTGCTGCCCAAAACCCAAGTTAGTGTCCCTCATTGGACCTGCTACCTCCACAACGTGGCCTATTTTGGAAGGTGTAATGCAAAGTTGTCATCAATGTTTTCTTTTTGTGTAAAGGTAATTGATCGTGCTGTAAAGGTTCTGGATCAGATGCCTCCTTATGACACTCATAAGATTGGAGTGATCTTCGTTGGAGCGGGTCAGGTGAGGATATTTTTAGGATATTTAATGTGCTTTGTCAATGTTCCCCCCCCAACATTTATTTACTATCAATGGCCAACATGACATCTTCTGTTGAAGGTTAACAATGAGGTAGCCATCCTTTCAAACGAGTATGGTTCAAACCGCTATGCTGCCTTCCTGACGGGGCTCGGGAAATTAATCCACTTGAAAGACTGCGACCCCGACCAGATCTTCCTGGGCGGGCTTGATCAGTATGGAGATGATGGCGAGTTCACGTACTGCTGGCATGATGACATCATGCAAGGTGTGGAATGGGAATGCTGCACTGTATTATTATTTTTTTGCCTCGTGTGTACACTACTCATAAAATGTGTGTGTGTGTGTGTCTGTGTGTGTGTGTGTAGCTATCTTCCATATTGCGACACTGATGCCAAACAGGGAGAGCGACAAGGGCTGCTGCAATAAGAAGCGCCACATTGGCAATGATTTTGTCATGGTGGTTTACAACGATTCTGGTGAAGAGTACAAACTGGGCACCATAAAGGTACACACACACACACACACACACACACATGCGCAAGCTACGTTTCTATCAAGTGGTACTGTTTGGTTCTGTTAGCCATCGCAGAGTTCTGACCAGAAATAATTATTGTTTCTGTGGCCAAGCAGCAGTAAATTGGTACCTTGGCAGACAGTATGCCGCCATTCAAGTGAAGCGGAGAAATGTGAGCAACGAGAGCCACTGTTGCGAATGCACTGTCAGCTATTTATCGAACAAGACAAACAAGACAAAAAGTGAGAGTACTCCGAGGGAGCGCTAAAGTCACATATTCAACACACAAATACTACAGTATGTACAATAGTTACCCCTAGGGGGCCAGTTTTCTTTCAATTCTTATTTTTATTTTACAATGGGGGTAGTCATTTTAACGTGACAGTTTTTGAACAGTTCTTTGCTCAACAGTGGACAGCAGGATGTCCACACTCAAGTCTATTGCTACCGTATTACAGCAGGGGGCGCAAAAACTGAAACCATTTAGGTGTTTAAATAGTGGCTTTTGGGGGACTCAAGGACGCTTTGGTACATTCATTGACACATTCAATGTAGACGTGGCTGTTTTTGTTGCTACCTCAACAAGGCAACTCAACTCAAGTGGTGACTGTGGCCCTGAGCTAAATTTCATTGCCTGCCTCAAGGGCACGTTGGTAGTAGTCAAGATGAAGACTATAAACAAAATCATAGAACAAATACTTACTTTGGCATTACCGTAATGAAGTGAGCCAAACCAAACCATGCTGCTTGAAGAACGTTTCAGGAGTATGCACGCGCTTTGTCTTCACAATGTTTCCCCCCCTCTGTTAGGGTCAGTTTAACTTTGTGGAGGTGATCATAAAACCACTGGATTATAAATGTAACCTCGTTTCCCTGCAGTGCCGTAAAGGTGAGCTGAACACTTTGTCACCTAGTCTGTTTCACCTTCGTGTTGCTTTGATGCCTCATTTTTGTTGTCTTTCAGACCTGGAGGGCTTAGTCGATACGTCTGTGGCAAAAATAGTCTCTGACAGCAACCTCCCGCTATTGGTCAGACAGATGGCTCTGCATGCCAACGTAAGTCAGCGTTGTTCTGGTCATTAGTGAATGGAACATGAAGCTTCAAATTTGTTTCATGAACCAGTTGTTACATTTTTTTTATTTTTTATTCCTCTAGATGGCATTGTTGGCTTAAATAAAGTAGGTTGAAGCAATGGCAAGTCAATGTGGTTTTAGCCCAATGTTGAAGAGAGTGCCATGTAGAGGAGTCAAATACAGGAACTGGCTCATGAAGCAAATTTAAAGTTTCATTTTCACCATCACTACTGGTCATATGTCAAGCCTGTTTGAGCTTTTAAACGATATATTTTATATCCAGCTTACTACCAGTGCTCGTCACTCTTTGCCCTTAGGAGTATGACAGTTTAGAGCATTAGTAGAGACGTTTACTCTACTAATGCTTGTAACATTTTTCCCCACTACTGACCTTTAAAAAGTTATTTAATATCCAGCATAAGGTATATATACACGAGTACGCTCTTTGTTCTCACAAGTAAGACGTTGGACTCTTTGCACATAGCGCCATGACGTTTACTCTCTTCTGGTATGCTGAACGATGACAGTCGTGTCTTCATAATTCATATTACTAGTTGTTCTACCATTATGCTGAAGTGTCATAATGTAGTATAAAAAAAAGAATTACTTGTAAGATGTAGTTTTTTTTTGTACTTGAGCACTGAATTGTCTTACTGCCGAGGACAGAGCATACTAGTATTGTATACAGTTTCTTAAACGGCTTGCCATACTATACTGTACATAATGTTTGACATGTTCTGCGTAGATGGCCTCCTTGGTGCATCAGTACAGAGCTAACCCTTCAGACGCTTATGCCTCCAAGTGGCTGGCAAGGTTACGGCACATCAAGAGGATCAGGACAAGGGTAGGAAGACTCACGCGTCATTCCAACGAAGAGACTTAACGTCCATTAGAGCTCAGTAATGATTTCTCCCTTCCGCTTTCTCAGGCTCATGAAGACATTCAGTCCCGATCGACTCCTGGCATCTCGCTGACGCAGGGACATGCTCAGCAGAACAAGCCTTTTCAGCAGAGCACCGCAGCCGCAAACCCCGAGAGCTCAGGCCAGCGTAAAAGGCTTGTTTCAACGGTCGATGACTTCACTGATTTTGTGTGATGACGCACGCACCCAGCGTCGAGGTGAGGTGAACTGAGTTTCATCTCAAGCATGGGGTAGATTTAGCATAGACTTGGACTGAAACTGATTGGGACCCCGTGAGCTTCACAATCAAAACTTATTTTCTGAGCTTTGAAGTGGTGAACCTGGCAAATTCTGCATATTTTTTCAAAAATGTGAACTTACTGACATTCTGCGCTTAAGCTGGATGCAGACTTTTGAGTGCATTAAAATATCTGAAATGCCTTTTGTTGAATTATTAGCAAGTCCTTTTTTTGAAACACCCTAACAAGCACAACGCGCTGATGGATTGACGGTGGGAGCCGGGCCAGATGATGAGTGCTGGTGAGAAGAGTGGCGTCTTCATCAAATCGGTTTTACTGGTGAAATGCAGCCGCAGACTCAGTTCATTTACTTTTGAGCCGTTTATTGAACATTGTCAAGTGCAAAAGCATGGACATTACCACAAATGAAATGTTGACGGCGCATTGGTAGAAGTTTTAAACAAGCTGCTTCCTTTCAAACCAGATTGGAGGGAAAACAATGTCACATGAGGATGGTGGACATGAACCTTTAAGCATAGGCACTTGATTGAATATTTCTTTAGCTTCGACTGCAATCCTTTTGCTGGACAGAAAATGTCAAAAGTTTGCAACACTTGTGCTTGAACTGACCATATATAACATATTGACCAAGAAAAGCTCGAACAAATATATACACACACGCTGTTAAGCACCAAAATATACAGAAATGTACATAGACACAATGCAAGTTTTAAAAACCAGGTTTCAGGAAATCCTCGTGTGAGGATGCATGTGGCACGAAGTTAAATGTGAAAGACGTTCAAATCTTGACGGTTGTCAAAGATCACTCAATCCCGCGAGCTTGCAACACATTTGTACTTCGTTGTTTCCATACTTTCTTAGGGGGAATCAAGTGGTGTCGATTCCACATTACAATGCTGCATTAAAAAAAAAAAAGTTTCCATGTCAAAGGCTTTGGTTTGTTTTGAGGAAAAGGGTGTGTTCCCTGAGATTTTGCCCACTGGACACAAATTATGTACGCCGATCACAACAACAAGAGTTAACTGCTTCAAAATTGTGTTAATATACTCAGACATTTTCATAACATTAAAACAAAAAAAAAAAGTATAAAGTGGATGAGTTAAATATCTCAACTAATATATATTAGCCTTGGATATCAGCTCCATTTGACAATAAAGTGCTAAGTACAAAACAAAGGAATTAAGGTCATGGTAAAAGTCATACATGCTGCAGAAGCTTTGGCAATTTTTTCTTCTTATAACTCAGCTACAGTAAAGCTGTCTGTAATGGATTTCATACCAAGCTTATTACATCCGAAAACGCCACACTGCCTTTCAGAAGAAAAAAAAAAATTAAAACAAAGTGCGTTTACTTCATAACCATATTGATCACAATAAAAGTTATTCACCATCCTGATAGCTTCATGGTGGGTCAACTTAAGTACATACTAAGTAGTGTGAAAATCCTTCCTGTTTCCAACTTCCATGAATGTCTTTTATTTGAGACGTTCTCTTTCCTTGCTTCTTCCCAAATCATCACTTCCTTTCTTCCTCTCTGTACCGCTTCAATATAATTGGAACCCTGAACAACTGGCTGCAGAAGCCAAGCCCCCGCCGAGGTTTGTCTACGTGTGTAGCGTGTGCGTGTAGCTGCATTTGCCTGGCATGCAAATTCGGCGTGCTAAAACATTTTGTGTTCCACACGGCCCACAAATACCCATAGTAGTAATAGTACCAACAGTTCGTGATTACATACACACAACATAGCAAAGAAATACGATTTTTTTTGTTTGTTTGTTTACCGTCCTTAGGTGAGCACGCAACTGTGCTTCTGTCAGTGACCTCTATGTGACCTCCAGGGTCACCTGTAGCTGGTTTTGAGGGGGAACAACAGTTTCTTGGTTTCACTCTGTGCGTGGCTGTCTGGAGCCGGTGACCCGCACCACATTTGGGCCAATCCAACCACAATCTTTCTCCTGCCTCTGAAATGTGTGACCTTCTCGTGAGTTGTTCCCCATCCGTGAAGTTTAGAGAGGAACGTCGGGATACAGAACCAGCTGCTCCCCGCGCTCCTCTCGTCCTTAACCTCACATTTTCCTCGCTCCTCCCTCATGTGTCCCTCCTTAGTTGGGGTGCACCTTGTTTTTAAGCGGGGGAGGCTTACGTTTTCGCTTGTGTGTGGGGATGGTGGTCGTGTGTGCCGGATGGTTAAAGAGGCTGGAGGAAGAAAGGGTCTCTCTCTCGGCGGGCGGGTGCTCCCAAGCCGTGGGCGGCGGTGAGGATGGGGTGGCCGCGGGGGCGCATGGAAGCGCCGTGCTCGATTCGGGAGGCTGGGAGTGGGAAAAGGGGCTATCGGGTGCCGATACAGGAGGAGTGGAAGGGTCTGTTACTGGTGTTGGTGGGGGAGCACTGATAGAGGGTTTGGAGAGAGGTGAGGATGGGGGCAGTGCTTTGGACTTGGCAAAGGGAATGTTTGAGGTTCCCGAAGTCGTTTGGGGATTGGCTGCAGAGTCTCGACACTCGTTTGCAAGTTGACTTGTCTCCTTTTTTTTGACCTTCTTGCCCACTTTATGCTTGTCTTTGCCACTCTTCCTTTCTTTTCGTCCACAATCTCCTTGTCCCGCCTTTCCACTCTCTCCCTGATCCAGTCGTCTTGCTCTCCCTCTACGCCTCCTCTTCCTCTGCGCTCGCTCTAGTTGGCATTCGATATGGAATAGATCCTCCGTTGCCATGGTGACGCGGTCCAGCTGTTGCAGCAGGGCATCAAAGGTAGGCAGCAGCCTCTTCAGAGAGGCCTCGGTCTCCGCTCTCTCCCTCCAGCCGGCGCCCCCTGCCGCCAGCCCGGGGCCGAGACCTGGGCCCACGCCGGGGGCTTCGGTCAGGCTGCAGGGGCTGGAGGACGCCGGGCACCAGGAGGCCTCGGAGCCGCCGTCGACGCTGTCTGGTGTGAAGAACGGAGACTCGGGGCGGTCCAGCGGCGGTAAACACAGAGACTTGCAGTCGCTGGTTGACGAGGAGCGCGACGGGGGCAGCTCCATGCCTTCGAAACGAACCTTGTGGCGAAACTGCAACGAGATCAGAGGGACAACAACGTGACATTCAGAAGGATTCTTGGGAATGACAAATTTCAATAGAAAGCCATACCTTGACTTACAAGTTCAATTCGTTACCTGAATTTACTCACATACAATAGCAAATCAATTTTCCCATTGAAATGAATGAAAAGGCCTTTAATCCATTTCACCACTACAACCACCCCTCCCCATACCCAATGTTTTATGCGCTTTCAATAAAGAAAACTAACACAATTGCATTTACAAAAAAAGAAAATTATTGAAAGAAATCAATTTAACTGGCTTGTTGGCATATGACATTTTATTGTTTCACTTCCCAGATTGTGACTTCAGTCTGATTATGAAGAGCTAACTCATCATCTTCACTTCTACACCATGTATCCATTAGTGTTGTAGTGATGCAACTGGTTTATTTTAACAAAGTTCAGGTGCATTTTCAATCATATGCCATGGCACGCGAACAAAGTGCACTAACTGGTCAGTATTTATTCAACGTCAGATTAATTTTTTGCCTTTAGGTGTTGGTCGCTGCTATCGGCAGCCTTCACGAGTATGTGATACCTTGGAATCAATGCGGTTTTTGTTCCGATACCTCTACCTGGTATTGGTACTTGCCCATCCCTAATTACCGTACCTATTTCAGAATTTTTTATGCGAAACGCATGCCATTGAGGGGCGTGGCCTCATGAGTGACAACAGGAGCGGTAGCAGGCCGCGAGCAGCTGGCCGTGAGTTGTGCTTATTTTCTCTTTCAATTCATTCGAGTGCCAGCATTTACGTTGACCGCTCTTAATTGAAATTTTAGCTCACACCAAAAAAAAAAAAAAGCAAAAAACAAAGGCTCGAAACAAAAACTCGCAAGGAACCACTGCGCAGTGTTGACACAACCCTAAAGAAGAGGTGCTAGTAACGATTGGAACGAGGGCTGCAAGTCACAATTATTTTAATCATCAATCTGTTGATTATTTTGTCGATGAATCAGATTAAAAAATGTTTGTTTCCATCCCTTTATTCAAAAACAGGACATTATTTCAAATTGACAGTGTACAAATTAATGATGATTGAGTGACTGTTTTGGTCCGTTAATGACAAAAATAGGAAAAATGTTCATCGTTGTTTGCTGAAGTAAAAGCAATTGTTTTATTTTGATCCAGCACAAAGTTAATCAGTCTGCTTTCGTGGTTATCAAAATAACAATCGATAATTTGATAATTGATTAGTTGTCGAATAATCGATTAATTGTTGCACCTCTATTTAGCACACAAGCTTATTTAAACCATCACCTTTTATGAAGACACCTGGGAGCACTTTTAAATGCTTCGTTTATCTCCTTTGCGATTCAGTGAAGTGAAAATTAGAGCCTCCCACAGACTGATTCATTATTCAACTGAGGTGCGTTCAATGGGGTGTGCCCGCCCATGTATTGTATTGAAGCAGTTCAGTACCTCCTTGGTCCTGCTAAGTCCCATCCACATTTTGAGTCTCCTGAGGAACAGCTCGACCATCTCGTAGTCTTGGAGATCGACAGCCGGCCGGTACAACTCTGCACGTCCGCGCCGGTAGTTCCTCAGTAAAATGGAGGTGACCAACCAGATCAGGACCAACCGAAGCACGGCGAAACTGGCGTGGAACACCAGTGAGGAGACGGTGCCCGAAGGCCCGGTTAGTGTCCGGGAAGGTTCCCATGACAATGGACTTCGACCACCAGCGCCCAACAAGGACAGACAGGTGGAGCTGACGCTAGCGTAGCCATCAAAGACCGAGTGGAAGAGCTGGAGTGAGAGAAAAGAGGGATTATGAAGCAAAGGTTAATAATAAGAATAATACACTGTATTCGGAAGCGCCTTTCAAAGCCCTCAAGGACACGGTACATCACGTCAAATGGATAAAATAGCGGAATTATTATTATTATTATTATTAGAGGTACCAAGAACTAAGCGGAGGCTCGGAGGGGATGGAGCCTTTTTCGTTGCTGGTCCCTCTTTGGAATGACCTCCCACTGAACATTCGGCAAGTTCCCTCGCTGCCCATCTTTAAACTTGTATTCTTTGGCTTTTGACTCAGCATGACTCAGACTTGATTTTTAGTTTTACTGTTTTTTGTGCTTTCTACTGTCTTCATTATGAATTTATTGTTTTATTGTTTATTGTTGTACATATAATATTTGCTCCATGTACAGCACTTTGTATACAGCGGTGGTTGTTTTAAAGTGCTCTATAAATACAGTTGAGTTGAGATTCTTTTTGTGTTGAATTCTAATAAATCTATCAACTATGCACGCTACTTAACCGCTACGTTTAATACATTGAACTACATAAAGTGACGAGCATTGTCATTACCTTGACAACAAAATGATTACAGTCCATATTGGGCACATGTCTTGAGAAAAAAAAAAATCACTCAAATGTGAAGCCTGATGGAGGATTGCAATGACCTTGCGATTTATTTGAGGCAAAACCATTGAAATGGCTTCCGTGTTGACGCAGAGCCTGCAAGAGCCCAAGCGTATCAAGATGACACAGCAGGAGTTTCCGGTGTGTTAGGAGTAATATGTATGCAAATTGTGTGTTTATGTGTGTGTGTGTGTGTGTGTGTGTGTGTGGTGGGGGGCGGGGCAGTGCAATATAGATATGCCAATACAGTGTTCCATTGGCATAGTAGTTTGGACATGCATCACAGCAGTGTAACATCTGTGGCAAATATGTCAAAGTGTTGAATATTGAATGAACATTTGTTTTGAGCTGGAATAGAAGCGACAGAATGTGACTGAAATAGATCAAGGCAAAATATGGGACTGGGGTTTCAGTATGGGTTCTCATTTTACATAAGCCTAAGGGGTGTAGCGAAAACCAATTTGAATCGAAAATTGGTTTTGATTTCAAAGATATGAGTTGAATCACACTGCATGTATCGACATACATACCAAATCGACTTTAAGTGGAGAGATGCACACCCGTGACACAATTCTAGGTCCATAATATTGTTGCTAGTTAACTTTTTGTTTGTGTTTGCATTGATTCACACTATGCACGCTAATGTGCTAGGGAAAACAACAAACTTGTCAACCCGAAAATCACCCTGTAACTTTTTTAGCGTTTCAGACTTTGAAAAGAAAGTCCTCATGATAGTTGATTTCTTAAAAAAATGACCCAACTTTAACAGAAAGGCCATCAACCTTTATGTTCATATTAGGTTACAAACAACAGAGTTTAGCACAAGTATGAAGCAAAGCAGACACTGACCAGGTGTCCGGTGTGCGAGTACGCCAGCAGCAAGAGCAGGAGGGCCAGAGCGACGCCCAGCAGTTCCCAGACGGAGCGTCGCAGGGCTCGGCCAAACACGGCCCACTCTCGCAGGAAGCGCAACTGATGAGAGGCCTGCATGATTGCACACAGGGAATAAAATGTATTCAAGGAAATCTTCCAACTTGTTCGAAAGCATAGGCCTTTGACTTATGTCTGAATTCATTGCATCATATTAAATTAGCAGATGTCCGCGAGTTGCGCTGCAGCCTTCTCAAACTATTTATCACTGGTAAATTACTCATATGAAATATGAATGTTTATTTGGTACAAAGTAGCCGACTATCAGCTGTACTTGTTCTATTGACTAAATTGCCATTACCATATGTACCAATGTTTGAATTGAACATGCTTCCAAAACCCTGTTTCCACTAGGCAGTACTGTTTGATACAGTGTGTAATTGTGTTTGCAAAATTAAATGGTCCCTAATCAAATTTGACACACCCTTCCATTGTGGAAGCAACCGCAGCGGAGCATGTTGACATGTTTAGGGATAATGTTAGGTGTAAATGTACTAGCTGGCCACCGCAGAAAGCTAAGGGACGCCTGGGTATGCTACAGGGTCCCCCGATGCCCATTGAGAAATAATCAACTTTCACTGAATTGAAAACTCAAAATCAAATGACAATGGTCCATGAAGTACTATATTTGTCCTGCATATCATTACAAATGAGCAAAAAAAAAAAAAAAAAAACGCTTGGCCTACTCACATTGTAAAACAGCAGTATAAGACCCAGTCTACGTGCAACTAAGTCAAATCGGCCATCTAGCGGTGATTGCTGATATTACAACAAAACTACAGTTGACCCCTGCTTATTTGCAGTTAGGCAACTGTGGAGTGGCAGAGTTGCAGTTTTTTCCCTTGTTTTTAAATTCAGTTTTTTTTTTCAGACAGAAAATGTCCATATTTATCTCACATTGAAATTTACATTCCTGTTCCCATCCTAACTGTACTGACGACTTAATTATTGTCCTTAATATTCTTCTCTTCCGATGATTATTTCTTACCTTGAGCACCAATATAAAGAGTAGCAAGGCCGCCATGACTGTATATATCTGACTCTGTTTAGCGAGGGGATAGAAGTCTGTGAAGGCATCTCGTGGGTGACTGAGGTACAAGGCCCATTGCCGCTGGGCCATGACACACCGGCTCAGATGCAGGCCACATACAGATGCTGCCAGAGCCAGTTTACAGACACCCAAGAGCCTCCAGGTGGACAGCAGGTATGAGGAACCTTCTCGGAGGAAACCCCAAATCCCCCGTACCAGGAAATATAACACCAGGGCAAGAAGGACCATCTAGTAAACAGGAAAACAAATGACGTTGCATCACCCAAATGAGAATGAACGGGAATGTATTTGCATTCCACAAATTGGTTTGTCTGCTTGTAATGGAAAATGTTGTCGGTGGGTACCACTAAAAGAAGCTGCAGATCCAGTCCTGTGATTGGCCACAGAGTGACGATGATGAGGTCAAGGCTGGACTGAGCACGCTCAGAAACTGGGAACTCGAAGAGGAAAGAAAAGACTGCCAAGAGTTTTGTGTTGATGTTGTAGAGTGAGAACTCCACGAACAAAGCACGGCTCCTACAAGCAAACGTAGAGAAAAAAACGGAACAGAATTTATTGGAGTGTCAGTCATTTATTGCAAGTTAATTAAGTCCATCCTTCGTATCGCAATCCAAATACGGGAGGAGCAGGATAAAATAACTGTTAAGCCCATAGCTCATTTTTCAAGAACAAATAGTACCGTATTGGCTTGAATATAAGACGGTGTTTTTTGCATTGAAATAAGACTGAAAAAGTGGGGGTCGTCTTATATTCGGAGTCGAGACATTATACCCATTCACGACGCTAGATGGCGCCAGATACCATTGAAGCGAATGCTGAACTTGACTCCCCAGGCCAAAGCGAACCCCTGTCACGAAGAATAAAAATAAAAATACCGGTAGCACGAAGAAGAAAAATAAAAAATAGCGGTAACAAAGAAAAGAATATAACAGAAGAGATAACAGAAAATGGGGAAACGTAGCGACAATCTGGAGAAAAGTGGGTCGAAGATCGGCAAGGTTAACCGGCAGCTGAGCAGAAGTTATGATGTGATGTACATTTCAAAAACCAGAAGCCATTCATTTACGAATGTGACTGCACTTTAGTTTACATATTTAAATGTTCAGATATTAAGATTTGAATGAGGCAAAATAAAATGCTTTTTCTCTCAAATATATTGTTATAATCATTTGGTTCAGATGTACTGTAATTATTTTCTGTATAAAAATTATTCAAAAAGTCTTTTTTCAAACTTGAGTCTTGAAAAAGAGGGGATACGTCTTATAATCAGGGCCGTCTTATATTCGGGCCAATACGGTATTTGCTGAACTTAATTTTCTGTCTTGTTAAAAGGAACTTTAACTGTGGTTTAAAAACACAAGCATTCAGCCACCTGTGACCGAGCCAGTGTTGCCGTTGCAGCTGCTGCAGGGAGCTTGAGGCCTCCCCCAGACTTCTGTTCAGATGGATGACAAAGTCTGTGGCGTTCGTGAGTAGACTCCTAGCAGGACGAGAAACACATTTAGATGCTGAATAGGTCCTTCAAGGTAACTTGAACTTTCAACTTGCAATCCTTTCCCTACGCGTTAGTGTCTTCAACACCGGAAGATGTGATGCGAGGCCAGCCTCGTTCCCACCTGTCCCCAGGTCTGGAACCTGTTAGAACTTCAAGAATAGACAACAATATTCATTAATGTGCACATACTGCGTGGCCGGAGGGAATTTTTCAGATCATATGAAATGCAACATAAAGTCATCTCACCGTGCGTGTGGTGGATTTGTCGGAGTCTCATTGTGCCGAGTAAAACACTTCCGGTGTCTCCGAGGAGGACAGAGTCATTCAGAAGGCCGGGTAATAAGGATTTGTTCAGCCAAGTCAGAACATCATGGCGGCTAAATGACAGCGTAGGAGAGATTAGGAAATAAACACAATCAATGACAAGATTTTAGAAAGATAACAATCCTTTTTCACTTGACGAAATGTAACAATATTTTAATACTGTGGTTGCAATGATCTAATGTTCTAATATTTTGGAGACCTTATTTACTGAAGCTACACAAGAAGGGGAAAATCAGAAACGCCTGACGATTGATGAGCCATTCTACAGTACACTGCAGCCCAATATTGTTAAAAGGCAGAATCTTGATTTTACCTGCTGATGTTGTGGTACTCGGGTGTGTGTAGCACATGTTGCAACTGAGTATGCAGTCTCAAGCTGTGTGTGTCTTTGGCAGAGTCCGAATAGTTGAGAAGAAGAACCACCAACAAGAAGAACATGTAGACCAGGAAGTTCTGAAAATTCAAAAACAAACAAACAACTTTGGAAACACTGAGAGGACACCATGAATCGCATGTAATGCGTCTCTTGCTTGATTACCTTCAACATGGCGTGCAGCATGCGGACCTTGCGGGCCTGGTGCCGGTCCTGAGACAGAGCGTAGCCCTGAGGTGGCCGCACCCTGTGGACCCGCTGCACCACTCTCTCCACCATGGGGAACTCCACCAGCACATCCTGGTCCTCGGGACGCAGGCGACACACAAACACTGCATAATAGATGGCCTCGCACAATACCTGAGGGACAAACGTAAGAACGGAGTGAAACCTCTCATCTGAGCTTCAAAATGAGATACTTGAGCTGACACCAGGCCCCAATTTATTAATCTTGGATCGCTGTGAATCCAAACATGGGTGATGTAAAGTTTGAGTGGTTTAGGGCCACTTTTCAAAGCGACAAAGTTCACATTTTTCGTCTGACCTTTATTGGCTCCAACAGCAGGCAGGAGCAGAGGAAGCTGGCAAAGCAGGAGATGAGCCACATCATGGCAACTTTCTGATTGAATCCGTGAGCTGCCCAAATGGATACACTGTTGGCCATGGCAATCGCTGCCCAGCTCCCCCACAGGGCGGCGCGTCCGCACCAGGGAGGGAACCGTCTGGGACGACACACATCTGCCACAACTGGAGAAGCGCGGGGTCACACAAAAACACAATTGAATGCGCATCGCGCCTCTGACAAATATTTGACTTGTAGTCACAAGAGAAACAAGGCTTCGGAATTGTTTCAGCATCCAAGAGGAAACAACCCAAAGGTCAGAAGAATATCACAGTTCATTTTCATGATTTCTGAGACAAGGAATCTAAAAGCTATGGCAGGTATGATTAAGTCTGGCAGCACAGATTATATGGAGGAAAGACAAATTAAAACAAATGTAGATGCGACCAATGACAACTCTCTGTAACTCAGCTGGGAGGACGAATGATATACTAGCAAACGATATTTCTTTCTGTTGTCATGGTAGTTTGGGAACCCAAATAAAAAGTCCAATAAAGGGGAAAAAATAAAAAAATCAAACCTTGAAACATGCATACAGTATGTACTGTAGCACATGAACATACAAACTCACGCCTACCTGTATTGGAGGAAAAAGCAGTTCTCGGGGGTTCTCTTCTGACTGCATCCAGAGGAAGAGGGTCATTGATTTTCTGGAGAAGAATCACCTCTGTGTTGTCTTCTAAAATGCTCGAACTGAAACGAGGGCAAGGAAGAGAAATACAATTCAATAAAGAAGATTCTCAAAATGTCGAAGCAAAATATCTGGTGAATTACTCGCAGTCTATCGATACTTACAGATCAGCCATCTCGCTTTCTTCTGCTTGCGGAAAAAAGTTCTGCCCATCGCTAAGAATGTGTTTGATAAGGTCCTCATCTGCGAAGAAAAGCAACTGAACCTCAACGTGGACTCAAAGTTATGAAAACCTCAGGGCACACTGCGTCTAGTTTATCAATTTTTTTTTACAATCGAATCTCTTATCAGTAACTCCTGAGCTGCTTTCAAAACAAAACAAATAAAAAATGGACCACATAAAAATACATTTCAGGTCATCCTGTGCACGCCAATGCCATGTGCTGTAACTCTCAACTAAAATAATCAGAAGGCTGAGGAGTCAAAAATCATTTTCAGAAAACGTGGAGTCATAATGTAATCGACTAATACTTAATTTGATTCAGTTCATTAAAATGAGCTCACATCAGGCAATAACAGTGCATACTGTGATGTCATGCAAAAGGACACGCTAAGAGAAATACCCAAATAGGGAGGGGTTCTCTTTTATAAACAAGTGGACAAAACGTGCTTTTGGAAATTATTCCCCTTTAGCAGACGTTTCCCAAAATTTCTGTTTCCATGGACCAAAAAGCATTAAATGGGTCAACCAAGACTGGCCTAATGTTATGAACAAAAAAATGACAAGAATTATAGGAATGGTTGAAAACTGTAGGGTGTCACAATGAGAGCTGTGTTTAATATTTTGGTTATCTTAAGTGAGAGTCGACATTTTTGGGAACAACTTTTACTATGACAAAGTACCTTTCTACACTACACCAAACTACAATCACAATACTTGGTTGAAGCAATACCTCTCTTGAATATCAATAAAGCCTGAACATTATAACCTTTGAAGAGACAATTATTTCCATTGAACCATGTTAGGTACCTTGAACTTACAGGGCCGAGTGATCTGAGCTCACCTGAAGAAGTAAAACATTTGTGACGTTGCGCATCCTCGTCATCAGGGTCAAAAGTCATGTCTACACCAAGGTGCCTGCTCCCTTGGCCCCTCTTCAACCTCGGCAACCCTGCCCCATGCCCCGCCCCTCCCGTCTCAGACACATGACCCAATAGCTCGGGCCAGTCGATGTCATCTGTCTCCTCCTCCGCCATGCCCCAACTCTCCATACTGAAATACAGAGTGAGGCATTGACTGGCAGTGAATCGACACTCCATGTTTAGAGCATACCGGTGTTCACGTTTGAAATGAAAACGTTGGTGCTGCGCCAACAAAGTAACTGACCTTTTGGTGGAAGGCGTGGGCAAATCCACATTGGTTTCCTCAGAATTGGTCTGAGAAGGAAAGATTGAGACGAGAAGGAAAAGAGGTAATGAGCACAAGAAGCGTATTCCATGCTAGACTGAAATATTGATTTCCAAGAAAATGTAAATCAAACATTCGGCTCACTGAACAGCCGCAAATTATCAAATGATGTTCCCCACCCCCAACAAGAATCTACCTCGCCATCAAAGTAGAGGAAAGAACTTCCAGCCATGGAGTTGTCCAGGAAATAATCGATCTCCACTGACTCCTGGTCCCCTGGTGGAGGCACCTCCTTCACTGACACACACTAAACGTTTGCACAAGCAAAAGTAGAAAAGAGTCTGTTGATAGTATGTGTGAGATACTGTCGATGGGACCAGCTAATGCTATCATTACCTTGCTGCGGCTCATTCTGAAGAGTGTGAAGACGAGGAGGTAGACAGGGTAGGCGATCAGACATGTCACCACACCTGCTGCTACGGTCTCGCCGTTTAGTGAAGATGATTGCGCCACGACCAGAGGGCTGCAACAGAGAATCACAATTCTGTCCGTAGAACACACAAGGCATTTGTCTTCAGTAGTACAGACTACACTTGTATTATCAAAAACAAGCAAATACTCAACTCAACTGTATTTATAGAACACTTTAAAACAACCACGGCTGTATACAAAGTGCTGCACATGGAGCAAATAGCATACATACAACAATAAACAATAAAACAATAAATTCATAATGAAGACAGTAGAAAGCACAAAACAGTCAAACTAAGATCAAGTCTGAGTCATGCTGAGTCAAAAGCCAAAGAATACAAATGAGTTTTAAGACAGGTTTTAAAGATGGGCAGCAAGGGGGCTTGCCGAATGTTCAGCGGGAGGTCATTCCAAAGAGAGGGACCTTTGCTGGAAAAGACTCCTTTCCCTCTGAGCCTGTGCTTAGTTCTTGGTATCTCTAATAATAATAATAATAATAATAATAATAATAATAATAATAATTGCGCTGTTTTATCCATTTGACGTCCGCAGACCTCAGGCGCCGGGCAGGTGTGTAGGGGCGGAGGAGAGGTAAGGTGGAGCGAGGCCATTTATAGATTTGAAAACAAATAACAGGGTCTTAAAAATAAAATGGATAAGGAGCCAGTGAAGGGATGCCAGAGAAGGAGTTATGTGCTCCCTCTTACGAGTACCAGTCAAAAGGCGAGCAGCAGCATTCTGGACCTACTGGAGACGCTGAATGGAGGATTGGCTGACTCCAAAGTAAAGTGCATTACAGTAATCGTGATCCAGACGGGATGTGACGAAGGCATGAATGACTGTTTCAAAGTGCTCATGAGAAAGGAGAGGTTTTACTTTAGCCAGCTGCCTAAGATGAAAGAAGCTGGATTTAACAACGGCACCAATTTTTGATTTCCTCCAGGCAGGATAAAAGTGGCCTTCATGAGAAAGCGTCTTTTTTTTACTCAGTGGGACATAGATCTGATGCGATACGATAAACACGGACATGAACAAATAAGTACCGAAAGACTTTCTGTAATGTAAGGGTACCGTTGTGCAGTAGTACCACCAAGTGACAGCTGTGCGACAATGTGCAAAGTATCGAGCAGTGATAAGTGATCAGTGGTGGAAGCCAATACTATGACAGTTGTGGAGTTGGTGCAGATAACTGTTACATAACTTTTAAAGTGACAAGTTGCAGTAATGCTCTTCCAGAAGGGTGTGCAAAACAAGATTGCAAAGAGCCGCTATAGATTTGGGTTACTGTTTAGGGGGTTAATGGCTAGACGGAAGAAGCTGTTTGAATGTCTGCTGGATTTGGTGCGCATGGATCGGTAGCGTTTGCCTGAGGGGAGTAGCTGGAAAAAGTGGTGGGCAAGGTGTGGGCGGTCCAGGAGGATTTTCCGCGTCCTTGTCTTGGTTCTTACGGTGTGCAACAATGGCAACAAAATAGCAACAAGAGCGCTCGGCGAGAACAGACTTTGTTCCAGGCTTGAACAAAAGACCAACTTTAAAACCATGATGTTTTGCAATTTGTACAGATAGGTAGACAGAATTGAGAATTGCTGTTTAGAAATGTTGAGGATTATTCGAGAAATGTACCAAAGAGGCTGAGATAAACTGTCATGCGTCATGACAGAGTGCGACGCCTCACCCCAAAAAACACATTTTGCTGGGTGAGGTGGATTCTTTCATCTACGTCCAGTTAAATGCGTCAACCGAAATGCTGTGGTGAAAGGTAAATGTAACTTGATTTGACAGATGACTTCCTGACAATGCATGCGAATTTGGGCAATGCATACATCATTTCAGACAAGATTTGATCAATCAAAGTGAGTTTTCCTTTTGAAATCTTGATCAAGAGGTCATTTTGGGTTCTCATGAACATTCAATGGAAAGAAATTGGAAATACTCATTGAAACATCGAAAAAAAAAAAAAAAGTACACACGCACGCCCACAAAAAGTAAAAAGCAAACAAGCAGCACACTAAACCTAAAATGCCAAAACCTGAAACAGTAGCTGAACCACAGGACAGCACGAACAGTGTCTAAAAATGGGCACACACCTGACTCTCTTGTCCACCACAATGCTGTACCACAGCGTGTTGAAGGCCAAAAATAGCTGCAGCAACAAAGCACAGCATGTGGCTCTCTGCAAGCGAGTAAAGGGGCTGCGAGGGGGTTTTTCCCACAGCGACAGCCACAGGTGACTCTCACACAGCGCCCTCTGCAGCTCACACCGCAGGAGGCGGGGAAACCGGCGAAGCGATCCCTCCTCTGAAAAAAAACAACCCAGAAACAAATGTGGAGTCTAGAAACATCAGTGGTGAGCGGTCAGAGCCAGCAAGGTCTTCTCTGATGGCCTAAACAGTGCCAGAACCACTACATTCATCAACTAAATTATAATATTTTTCCATGAAACTGTATTCATTTATTCTCAACAGCTGCTCTCTTCATTTTGTAGGGTTTCTCTTTGCTGCACGGCTTCCATTAGTGTTTGTAGGGCTGGGTGATGTGACTGAAAAGTATCTCAAGATACGAGTATTTCATATTTCTTGTCCTATTTCTGTCTTGGGTTTAAGTCTATTACCTGAGGCCTCCACTTCCATTTCTAGGCGACCCTCAGTTTTGTCATTCTCTACGGACAGCCACTCATCAACCAGGAAGTAGTAACTGCTTCCCGTCTGTAAGTCCTTGACCAAGACGTACTGTAGCATCCACGCTGGGGACAAACCTGAGGGAAAGCGAATGATTTCCTGAAATGTAAGACAGCTTAACCATTTGTTACAGCAGGCATCTGTTTTTTTTTTTTTAAGTTACCCTTATTGTCATGCCAAATGCGTATTTTCCACACACTGCCCAGGCTGGTGTCTGTTGCAATATGGAAGATGTCGAGGGCGTTGCGTGTAAAGGCTCCCCTGCTGTCGAGATGGCGGTGTCCGGTGCGGCCCTCACGACCATACAGACTGATTCCTACATGAGCTGTTGTTCCTGAAATTGTAGACACAGCCACAACTATTAGAACGTTTTTCCACATGCCATATGTACACTCATATAATTATATATATATACTCATATAATAAAAAATAAATAAATAAAATTTTGCTGTAGACTGCAAATTTCCCCAGTGTGGGACAAATAACGGTTATCTTATCTTATCTTATCTTATCTTATCTTATCTTACAAGTGTGAATCAGAGTGTGGAAAGTTCACATGATGTTTAATGTTTGCCGCTTTAGAATTGAACACTGTTCAATTTGAGTACCGCGGCATTCGCCCACTTTGGTGTGTTTCATCCTTGAGCCCTCGGAGCATAACCACAATGAATGGGTCCGCTGCACATTGCTAAGAGCGGTGTGAAAAGGTCTTAAGGCTCCAGCGTTACCCATGGATGGCCTTGCCGTACACTACTGAAAAATAACATTCTGCTTTTCTTGTAGAAATCACAAATATATTTATGGACACATGCCTGCCCATAGACAATGGCAGCAGAAGAGGACTTACACTCAACAACGCAAACATTATTTTCTCGTTCTCATGAGAACCCGAAATTTTTCTTGTTACCATGAGAAAGTTTCTAATGAGAAACATATTTCTTCTTTTCCCCCTTGTCATTTTAGGGTCTCTGTACTTTTCAAACAAATTGTAAATATATTTGAATACACAACTGTAACTGCAAGCATCAAGTGTGTCAAAAATACTGTACGTATTGTATTGTCTGTGTCCAAGCATGTGCCTAGAAAATCTTGGGCCTGGTTGAGTGGCTATGTGATATCAAGGAGTCTTCATGTGAGTGCCTGGGTGACAGCTGTGACCGACAGCAGCTTCACTACCTAAGCTTTAACCCGCAATAATCACAAGTGTCCTTGGTTGTCTGTTGGTGCTATTTAATGTTTATTTGTTCATATTTATCTATTTATGTCTTTTATGCAGCTCGGGTTGCTGCCATTGTTTTCAGCGGTGTGTGTTTCAAACTACATGTTTGCACTGTGGTTGAGAGAGGAAAGTAATTTCATCTGTGCTCTATGTTGCACATAGAGCATATTTGACAATAAAACTAACTTGACTTCTGCATGAATGTGCTCCATTGTGTTTGTGTTTTGCTGTCGGGCGTTCGGTGAACAGCTAAAATGTGTATTGGCAACCGTGGCTCTCCATTTTCCACATGTGAGGGCATTACAGCAAATATACTGCAAAAACAAATATTGTAAGTCACTAAAAAAAAAAAAAAAAAAAAAGTCGATGTGGGCTGGACACTATGTAAAAGAAATACTTCATTCATAGCTTACCTGCCCCATGACTCCAGCCAGTTTTGACTTGAACCTCATATTTAAAGAGTCCATCAGTGCCACACAAGGGAACCACACCAGCCCGGCGCAAATCCATCTGATCTAATTTGTGCAAGATGGCAGCAGCAACAACATAACTGAGCAAGCCCAGCACGCACACCAGTAACACCACTAAACTTGGTGGGCCAGAGCGCTCCTGAAAAACATGAACAAAGTTACATTTTAATCTTCACCAAACATCAAGAATTGATGATTTTGTCGCATTGCATACTGACTGGCATTGTAAAGCTGACTGAATGAGGGGGTACAAAGAGGCCTGCTGCGAAGGCGGTGAGGTGTCTGGTGCGACAAACGGCTCTGCTGGCGTTGGTTTCTGCCAAGGGCACCATGCCGTCTGTTCGCCACTGCTTCTCGCTCTCGCTGAAGTACTGGCACAGTGAGGCAAACAGCCCCACCTCAAGATGAATGCCGGCAGACTGTGAGGTGGGGCTGCAGGGCGCGCTCACGTTGATAAAGTAGTCAAGGGTCGTGTCATACGTCCTGTGGAAAAGGCAGCAGAGACGTACGAACGGTCAATCTCATTTACAACCCTGTTTATCATGCACCTTTAATGAAGGGATCTTACTCGGGTGATAGGAAGAAAGTGTATTTCCTATGATCGACGCTTTGGTTTCGGGTCATACTGAGAGTGATACGTTTTCTGTCGGTGCAGTTGAATTCATTGGGCTGTTCATGTGAATGAAGGTAGGCTTCGATATATGGATCCTTGGAGTCTTCACCGCTCTCAGTTTTGCCCCCCTCATCTGGAGAAAGATACACTACATTGTAATTCAAACCAAATAAAAAAAGATTTCACATTGTTAAATTTTATTTTTTATAGGTTGGAATTATATTTTACAGGCATTTTATGTTGGAGATGCCCCTGCAAAAACAATTACTGTCCATGCTTCCATGTGTGTAATGTATGGTCAGGACAAAAATGTAAGCTATTCATTATTATGAATCAGGCATAGAAATTATTGACAAATAGCCTTTTGATTGACGTTTTTGGTTGTTATCTGCAAGGTTTGTGAAATGGGAAGTCACCAAATTTTTTAACTAAAAAGGTTCACCAGTCACATAAAAGCATTTACAGACAGCATTTTGCCAAGTAGAAACATTTTGGGCAAAAAGGGGCATCGACCTCTGTCTCTCTCGCTGAGATGCAGTGTACATGTGCCTGCTTACTCATAGTTAAAATATATAAAAGTGAGCAATGACCTTCCAAAGAGGTGAAGTTGAGTTGCACAAACAGTCCAGCCTGTCGGTTGTTGTTCCCTGTGATCACCCTGACGATGACAGAATCACACTGGCTGATGTTCACGGCTCCGGCCGTAGGCACACCTCCTGCAACTGAGGGATCTGTGCCTAGCTCTCCGCCAGTGCCATTGTTAATGGCAACAGTGATGGCGAGACTGTCATCCAGTCCGGAGATGGGAATCTGGGTGCCATTTTCAGTCCGGAACTCCATGGATGCCACCTCTGTGGAGACGGTGTAGTTGGCTATGTAGTTGAAGGGGAAGGGGTTGGACTCCAACTGTGGAGAGACAAAAAAAAAAAAGGGGGGGGGGTGTTCATGTAAGGAGAAATAATGACACCAGTTTACCCACAATGCTTAGTTTCCGGCCACCATATTTGAGGGCACGCATACAAATGGAAAACACAAAGAGAAGCCTTATCCATTGTTAGCGTTATTGGTTATCGGTCTACTTATGTCCAGCTTCCTAAAAAAGGTCCCCTTTATGACACTCGTGCATTACATTGACATTCGAAGTTGTTTTATAGGAAAACTGAAGCCAGTTTGTTCCCCGGAGTGCGCTATCACAACATCGTTAACTCATTCACTCCCAAAGACGTATTTAGATGTCTTTTCAGATGCCACACATTTAATCCCAGCACCTCATTTTATATTGACTGTACTTGAAAAGGGTCTGAATATGGCCAGCCATTTTCGGACCCTTTCAGACCCTTTTCATGTACAGTCATGTACAGTCAATATAAAATGAGGAGCTGGGATTAAATGTGTGGCATCTGAAAAGACATCTAAATACGTCTTTGGGAGTGAATGAGTTAATTACGTGATTGTAAAGAAGAGTGTCTACACTTGGGAAGACTTCGATGCTGTCAAGAGCCTGAAGTCTGATAATGACTTTTTGTCTGGATAGGTGAATGATGTTGGCTGCATTCAACAAAACGATCTTAACAGACAGAGCGACGATCTTGCCTCTGTTATCTAACTCACTCGACCACCTTCCCTCAAACATGGAAGCTTTTGCACAGGGCGAGGGTCTAGAGAGGACGTTGGTCTTTGCAAGTGTGCAGAGTTCATATTTACTGTACTAACCTGGAAGAGTAACTGCATGACGCTGTTCCCCGAAGCTGCCCTGCCAAGACTGCTGTTAAACGCCCTTGGGATCGAGAACCGCTGACACTCTAGAGGCAGACGAGATGGCGTGCGCGATCATGACACATTGATCCTGACAGTCCTCTTTACACTCGACAAAAATCTACAGACTGTTAGGTGATGTAAGCAGACATGACCCAATGGTCCACACTGAATAAACAGGCACACCTGGACTGCTGTTGCCATGGTAACAGAGCAGGCTCTGGGGGTCCGCCAGTTTTCCCGTGGCAGCTATCTCGGATCCCCTCAGCACAAGCGGTTCTTCATTCAGGACGCGGCCATGCATCAGGATAAGCATGAGGACCGAGGACAGGCTGTAGGCTTTGGCGGCCACTCGCAGTGGGTGTGGCTCTAAGGAGGAAGGGGAGGGGTCCAACTGGATACCGCCATGGTATGCACCAGACGAAGTCAACGGAGAAGTAGAGAAGACTGATGCGGAATCTACGTAGGCGGGTTGGAAGTAAGACGCTGACTGGCTGACTTGATGGATCAGATCACCTTTTGGAATATATGTGAGAAAAGAGAGCTGCAGAAGAAGTGGAGAGAATGGAATTCCGACCGCGGGGGTTGCTCAAATCTGCACCCGAAATCTAAGCCAAGACCACAATTTCTTTTTTCTATCTACATGTATTGTGGGATAAAGATCATGCTAAAGAAAAATCCACGAGTCAAATGAGTGGATGATTACATGTGATTTTCCATGTTGAATTGAGACTGACATACTCCACGTACCAAATAATTTACACCAGATTACATCATTCTCAGATTTTTATCAATAGTATATGTAAATGGAACTCAGCATAATTTTCAACTCGTCAACATGGCAGGTTAATTGTTGACTCTAAATTGTCCCTTGTTGCGACTGTGAGTGTGGATGGTTGCTTGTCTGTGTGTGCCCCTGCGATTGGCTGGCAACCGCCGACTGCCCGAAGACACCTGGGATGGGCTTCAGCACGCCCGTGACTCTTGTGAGGATAAACGGCTCATATAATGAATGGTTGGATGGACAACCTCCTAGTGCTGCAAAAGCAACCAATTACTATTTGCAGTTCTTTACAACCTATATAATGTTTTGAATCACTGCTATACATAATAATTTGGAACGTTGCATTAAAATTGTTAATTTTTTTTTCTAATTCCAATTTATTCTCAGTTGATGACTTGAAAATTATGCAGAGTGCCATCTGTCAAGGCTACCGGTATTGATAAAAATCTGAGAAAAAACACTTTTTGGAACGCGGTATCCCATAGGGGTTTTACCATTTTTTTACTTACTATATTATTAAAAAGTATATGTTGTCAGTCAAGGGAAACATCTTCGTATTACAACAAGGAAAAAAAATATGGATTAAAATCTGTACACAGGAAGAACCTGGCAGAAATCATTCTGGACAAAGCGATCTTGTCTTCTGATGGAAGCCCATTTCATAGTTTTTCATGACCTGCATGTCATTTACTGGCCAATCAGAATTTAATTAAATTTGTATTTACACATAATCCAAGCAAAGCAATCAAGACCTACCCATGATGTTCAGAATGTTGTCAGCTATCTCAGTTGGAGTCACCGTTCCCTGCTTGGTGTCATTTTGCAGAATCTCTAACATGGACTCAAGTTTGTTTAGTGTGCTGTTCTGACACTCCTCGCAGATGAACTCTCGACTCACCGCCTAAAAACAAAAACAACAACTACCAACTACTTCTTGTATGCTCTTTAAATTGTGACCTTCTTTCATTCTCAAAGCCTTTTTTTTCCCCCGTCTCGCCCTCTTCAGACAAAAACGATACTCACTGTACACTGTGCCAGCGCGGCAGAAGTTTGCTGAATGTCATTAACAGTATTCAGATCCAGTGCGGTCAGCGCCCTGGTAATGTTGCTGCGGACTCTGACTCGGTAAACGCGCTCCGCTAGAGACACCCGAGTTGACTCCCGGCTCTGCTCGTACTGTTCCAACATAGAATCAAGAATTCGTTCAGGTTTTGACATATAGGGATTGTGGTCAAGTAATGAATTGAACTGGTGCATGCATACATTCGCGTTTTAATGTTTTAGGCCTCTCCTACCTCATTCAGAACAGTTATAAGAGCCAAGGATAGCTCCCTGACCCTCTGGGAGTCTCCTTGCTCCAGTAGCTGTTTAAGTCTGCTGTCAGTCAGCTCAGCCAGCCAATGAGGAAGACTACTGTACACAGCCGGTGGATCAGGCAGCATGACCTCAAGTGACCTGTGCACAAACACAAAGTGATGAATAGTTTATCTTATTAGTTGTTGCTTTTATTCATGACTTGACATTTGTTGAAAGTGTTATTTATAGTGCGGATGAAAGTCTTTTATGTGATTGCTAGCTTCACCAAGATCATCTGAACAATATATTCTTTTCTTGAACAATTTGCCTGGTTTCCACAAACACTTCCAATTGTACCACTTGAAACTTCATTTTTCGCTCCCAAATTTTGCATGGTGAAAACCACGAGAGTTACCTAAAGTGAAACTCCCTCTTTTTAAACCATCAGTCTCAAACACTTGTTGCCAACTGGACACGCATTCTGTTTGAGTAAGTGATCATGCAATTTTGTATCTGCTATTTGGGATCTTAGTAAATAAGGTCCCCGGTCAGCAGACCTACGTAAGGTGCGGGTTAACCACTACAAGTGATTCTCACGCACCAAGCCCCCTTTGCACATTATGTGGCAACAGGTTTGCAAATAAGGCAACAAAGCCATCAAAATTGCCATCAAATTTGGAGATGAGACAAAAGTAACAAACTTCAGGTGTCGTTCATTAAACCCACGTTGGGATGTGCCCGTTGAAGAGAAACAAGCGTAGGACTTACCCTAATGCTATGCTAGTTTAAGTGGAGGTCGCATTATCTGACGGAGCCACTGACCACAAGTTGGTGAATTGAATGCAGCAAAAACCGTTTGTTCTGATGGCATTAAGCACCATTTCAGACTTTCAGTCTTTCATTGTACATGCACAGCTTGAAATGTACCTTTTCCTCAATGCACGATGCAAACTAAAAAGAGAAATGCCTGGTCAAATTTATCAAGCTAATTGGTGTGAAAGCAACAATGATAGATTTGAAAAAAATCGGTGACACCTTGGGAGACTAAAAGGGACAATGGAGTGTCATTATTTTCAATGCCAAATTCACTTCATTACTTGTTGAGGGCTGTGATCGATGCTCCCTGAAGATCCTCCACTGTGATAGACACAGCTACGCGGTGTCGAGCCGAGCTGAAGCCCGGAGGAAGGAAAGCCGAATGCTCTGGACTGCTGCCTTTATAAACACAGAATTCCTCACAGTAGTCTTCCTTGCAGCGAGTCACCAACAAACTGTAGAGCAAAGGTGTCTCAGAGACTCCCCGATCACTGTAACCTGGTGGTAGGAAGGGATTGGGATTGGTTGACAGGTTGCATGATATCAAGAATTACAGATTAACAAAATAAACAAAACAAACAAGTCAGCATGTGCTGAAGGGGTTTCTCAAGTTTCTCCAAATCAAATTCAACTAGGCTGCCTTAATTGGAGCATGGCCTTGCTTTAGCTTTCTGCTGTGGGGCACACTCATGCGAGAACACAACAGGGCCTTACCTTAACTGTCCCACAAGGTTAGTCAACTAAAAACCAAGAGTGACGTGATGGAGTTGTGTAAAGCATGTACCTGAGCAGTTGAAGTGTACTCTGTCCAGCAGCGTTCGAATGGTCCAACCGCCACTGTCTGCCTCTCCAATGTCCCCTCCTGCCTCCCCTCCGGCTCTCAGGTGACACTCCCCGCCAGCCGGAGGCATGTTGTGGTGTAACGTGATGGAGGCGGCGCCCTCACCGTCCAGTGTGTCATCGGTTACGTGCAGGGTGAAAATGTACGAGTCTCCGTGGCGAAGGACACCCTGACGCAGCACCAGGTTCATGCAGTCATTTCCGGTGGTGGTCGAGGAGGAGTCCAGGATCAGAGTCTCGTTCTGCAGCGTCGTGGCGGTCCATCTCTGATAAAGAGAGAAAATTTAGTTTTGTGGGCTTCAGATTTGAACGTCACACTGGATTCAACTGCATTTCCATTGTTACAACTTCGATAAAATGCACGCCAGAGACAATGAGTTTGGAAGTTCAGCTAAGCCACATAAACACATCCAGCTGCTAAATCCACTCGAGCACCAAGTGACTCGGCTCGTATTTGGTCTGTTCTTTTTGTTTTCCACTTTTAGTAAAGGATGTAACTTATTCCCCCTCTCTACTTATACAATGACCTCAGTCTCACACCCACTCACTAATACCTGCAACAGAAAAGTCAAAATATCGGAGGAGGAGGAAGACGCTGGAAATAACGACCTCACTATTGTCTGTGCGTAGTGGTGACCTCATCTCACTGAATCGCGGGACTGTGATAGTCTGTGTGTTCCAATGTGGCTTGTGTGTTTTTACCCCGCGGTGAAAGCCCTGGCAGTTCGTGCAGGTTCCTCGGAGGTAGACATAGGAGTTCTGGCTGACTTCGTAGATGGACTGTGCCCTACAGGACACACACTCCAGATATACCATGGGAATGTGACCGCTCTGGACGAGCACCTGTCGTCACACATACACATGCACGCACGCACACAGATAAACACAAACGTTTGTGAGCTATACTGGAACCAAACCATCCAATAAATCACATCACAATAATCACTCTGGTCCGCCGTTTCCTGAAAGCCCGCTCGTGAATAAGTGAAATTAAAGAATCTTCAAATATGCTACACGTTATGGCTCGAAAACAATAAGCAGGATTAGTAGGATTTTTTTGACGACAGACTATCATCAACACACAGGAATTTGGGCTCTAACCGTAATATTCATGATGGTCAAAGTCTACCTAAGTTGTTCCTAAAGAATGGACTACTGCAGGCCAGGCTTTATTCTTATTGCTAACGTGCATTTTAATGTGCACGTGCTTCAATTATGCTTGCTTTTAGAAAGGACCACAGGAAGGACGCGCTTATACAAGGTGCGCACTCACAGTTTGTGTGGTAGACGCCGGTGACATTCCATCTTTGCTGATAGACAGTTTGAAAGTGTATTCAACGTCTGCCTCTAACTCAGAGCCAGAAATTCCGAGGACCGGACCGCTGGAGCCCAAGCCAAAGTTCAGGCTGGAGCAGTGCTCTGGACCCTTGCAGAAAGAGATTTGGGTGGAAGAGGAGTTCAGTTTTCAGAAAACTCTGACAACTACATCCCTGTAATGTTTGTACGTGTTAATTAGAAGAAGAGATGTATACAGTCAATGATGGCTACTGTATCAGCATGAGAAAGACTCAGTTGAATAACCCTTGAAATGCCTGCCTAATTTGGAATGCAACACACACACACACACACACACACACACACACACACACACACACACACACACACACACACACACACACACACGCATGTGCGCGCGCACGCACACACACACACATTCTGGAAACACCCATTCTCCCGGGTCTTATATTGCATGCTGGACGAAGAAGTGTTGAGAGTGGAAAAAGCAAAATGAATTCACACTCACTACACAAAAACACAAAAGACTGAAATGTGTTCGGAATTGTAAATCCTTCTTTACTTCCTTCAATGCTCAGAACTAATTATTCTTAATTTTTAGAACTTTTCCAGAGCTGTAAATGATCAAACTACAGAACATCTTATAAATTTACTGTTATAAAGTGTCATGGAGATATTTTCTGTGTAACTCCCTAACCATGAGATTAAAGTCAAATATACAGAAGAGTTTTAAAAAGGCAAAAAAAAAAAAAAAAAAAGAATCACTATGTTAATCTTACTTTAAAAAAATAATTACTAGGATAAATATTATTACTTAAGCGTGCAACAGAAAATTTTCTAATTTTCTCAAAAGAATATTTAGATAGGTGAATATGGGTGCTGATTTGATGAAGCCCAGTTTAAATGCTCCAAAGAACATTAGGGACATATGAATATAAATGAAGCAATCACAATTGAGCTACTTAATTAAACTGAAGGCTCAAGGTAAGACGGTTCCGAGTTTATTTATTGGGCATGAATGAAATTCAATCAGCATGCCATCTCCAACTCTGATAAACCGACAATACGAATGCTATTTTATGACAACATTTGAGGGTGGACATGCCGATGACCACAATAACTATGGCATTTTATCACAATAATTGAACAAAGTTAAAAGTATGCCCTTTTGCATGCTTAATCTCACCTTTGATGTGCTTTGGCAATCCCAATGGTAGTGGAGTAGTGACTGGCTTTCTGGGTCCATATTGGGATCATAAGACTGCTCTGCACTGAGCTGGAGGTCCTGGGTCCTCGACCACACCCTGTAGGTGCCACCCTCTATGATGGGCATTAGCCTGTGAGAGAACAGTGGGGGAGATAAAAATGACATAAAATGGCATGCTTTCTTCATCTTTTCCTCAGATTACAGTTTGGCTATCAGATGTTACTGAATATCAGAGGAAAGGGCAGAAGGTAATATTACTGACTGAGAAGCACATACATTTGGATGCCAAAGGATTATTTTTAGAAAAAATAAATATTAAATGTTACATCCGGGTTAGTTGGTGAGGTATCTCCAATCTGTGCATTTCATTCAACAGTGGCAGGTATCCAACACAATATCAGATTTTCAGACACATTTGAAAGGGGCCGGATTCCCATCCGTGTACACCCTTGTTTCCTCTTTACGATGAATATTCTAATTGTTATCTGGCGAGCAAAATCAATCAATAAATAAATTAAAGAAAAATGGTGTCACTTGTACAATGCATGTAAATTCAGTCCAAAATGGTCAGTGTTGAAGAGGTCATCTATGGGTAATCTGTAGTTTTGGTTTTCTCTGTGTATCGCTCATTATTTGTCAGTGCGCAACACATACCGCCGCAAAACTTTCATACGTAGCGCAACTGGCCTCTCGCTCTTTCTCTCTCTGTCTCTCGCCCCTGAAAAGGGCGGCACACGCAAGGGACTGTTTTTCTTAGTTTCTGTTTTAACCATTTTAGTCAAGGATAGGTGAAGGTTTCCACAGTTATGAAATGTATGTGGAAGTAAAACAAATCCCGTCTGTTTTCAAGACATTGAAAGTGCTCCAGTGGGTTTATAAAACCTTTTTTAAAAGCTTGAAACTATGGCCTACTTTAATTTCTGAGATACAGTATCGATCGAAATTTTAAATCCTTTCGGCAATTTTGGAGTGAATTTTGTACTTACATAGGTTTGTATGAATCGCGATTAAAAATTATTTACTAATACTATTTTTATGCACCCCACATACAGTATGACCGCCGATCACTCAACAAGAAGTGGCCTAAAACGTGTTTTCACTGACCTGGCAGCCATCACGCTAAGTTGCAGACACGCTGCTTTCCTCAGTGGCACGCCTTCATATGACAGAGAAAACACCAAAGTGTAGTTGCCCGGAGCCAACGCCATCTTGGGCAATGACAGTTGTAGCCGTCGCACATCCACTTCCACTGGGAGGAGGATTTCTCTCTCAAGGGATTGCTGAAAGGGTTCAGTCAAGACCCCGGAGGGAAGAAGGTGGTCACTATTATCACAGGACGGTGTTGTGACGACTTGCCACAAGTACTGTGCTCCATATATAATACAGCCTTTCAGGTCCACAGTGGCCTCAACAAAAGTGGGCTGGGATCTCCAGATGGCAAGGCGGGGAGCTTGAATGACTTGTACCTCTGGTTCCTCACACTCCAGTACACTGATGTTTACTTCGACCTGGGCCAAAACCCAGCTCACCAGATTACTACAGTTCACCTGGCAGAGGAAAAAAAAAACCTGGTGAGTACAAATACCAAGCAGATCTGAAACATTCTTTAAAAAAACTACGCATATAATCATTGCCCTATCCATTTTAATAGACATACTTGGACCACGTAGTTTCCTGGGTTCTTGTAGTCATGGCCCACAGTTGTGGTGTTGGTGTGAACTGGGGAAGAGCCGTCATTAAAGTCCCAGACGCACTCCAGAGGATTAGATCTGGGCGTGACAGAAGCCACCAGAGTGATAGTTTTATTGACCAAAGTGTCCTGAGGTGTTGCATAAAGGACTGCGGCCGTCAGAAGGTTCTGCACAAGGATGTGTTTGGTGATGTTCTGGGCATGCAATGCATTGAAGGCCTTCAGGTAAATGGTCAATAAACCCGCTTCTTCTGGTATGTAGGCGAACTGGTTTGTGGGATGAGACAGTGAGAAACATCACAGTTTGTTGTGATGGCAGGATTATCATCATCATGACAATGTAGATGAAACACTTTTTTACCTCTTTGCCAATATGTGATGTCTTGTGGAGGTGGTGCAGGTCAAAGGTCCAGAGAAAACTAACAGGTTTACCCGTCATGATGCTGGCCGAAAATAATCTCTTCACTCCAACAGGGATTGCTGCACAGCTTCCTTGGATGGATAATCCACGTACTGGCTCCATCACCTCAACTTGGAGGTGTCGCCTCTTGAAACTTACCTGGGTAAGTACAAAAGTATTATAAGGGACTCTTCTTATTTATGGCAATCTTGAAAATGTGCTACTATAAAGTCTGTTACAATCTCTAGACCTTGAACCGGATAAGAAAAAGAGAATAACAAAAGATTTTTGCAATGGCGCTATTTTGTTTTTGACTGAGTTGCTCTTACCTGATTGTGAGCAGTGAGGTTGACCATGTAGGTGTCTACCCTGGTGAATACGTGCACATAGGTTTGGTTGAGTTGCGGAGTAACAGTGGCATCTCCGCTGATGCTCAGGATGAGATCAACATCCGAGCCTGCTGCCATAGAAATGGTGAACTCCACCCTCTCCCCGACCACTGCGATCTTTTTACTTGCCCGCAACTCCAACCCCTGAATCTTGTCCTGAACAAAGAACTCCTTTGAAACCATTTGCTCACTGATATCGTTGGTGGCATTCAGGGTAACAATGGCTGTTTTTGGCTCCTGGAACACCACTGATGTGTTTTGTCCTGTTTCTGTTGTTCCATCAAGCATCCATGTCCATGTCACATTGGTCCCTCTTGCTACTTCCCCGTAGAGTATGACAGGGACCCCTGTTGCTGTGTAACTCTGCTCAGTCACATCGACTGCTGTGAAACCAAGCCCAGAGATGACCTCCTGGACATCGATTCTCTCAGACACCAGCTCGGAGCTAACTTCATTGAAGACCTCCACGGTCACTAGATATAGCCCTGGACTCGGAAACGTGTGAGTATTCCAGGGCTCTTTCCACTGCAGCGTATTTCCATTCACAAACCAGCGATATTGCAGGTCGGAGCCCTCCAAAGTGGAAACGGACAGATTAGTATGAGCATTGACAGCAACGGGGTTGTTGCTGATCTGCAGATACACTCCTCCAGCTGGCTCTAAGAAGTGGACTGTTCTGTTGACGGACAGCTGGCCCAGCAGGTTAGCTGCTCGAAGAAAGATAACACACGGCCCCGGAGTGGAGAAATTGACCTCCACACTCTTGCCACTGATGTTGAATCTTGAGCTCGCGGGATCTAGCTTACTGATGATGTTCCAAGTAAAAGTCATGTTGGTTCCTTCTTTTAAGCCTGCATGAAGGTGGAGAACACGGTTTGTAGCAAAGCAGCAACCATCCACTCCTGTGTCTCCACCTACTCCCATCTCCTCCTCGACTAAAATATGGAGCCCCTCTAATTCACGTTGGACAAACAGGAAGATACTAGCTTGGGCCGTCCCTATGTCATTTTCTGCCGTCACGATGATGTTGAAAGTGCCAACGGAGCGGAAGGTGTAGAACATGGTGTGGGTCCCTGGAATAGAGGTGCAGCGGTCGCACAAGATCCAGGAAAACCGGACATCATCTCCCTCCACAAGATGAGCCTCAAAGTGGACTGAGGCATTCAGAGGAACATTGATTAGGCTAGCATTGACAGTTAACCCACGAATTGGCGAGAGCACAACAACAGGTAGAATACTGTAATTCCTGCTGACCAAGTTGGTTGCTGTCAGCGTGATGTTGTAGTTTCCAGAGAGGTTGTAGGTGTAGGGGACACTGTGCCCCTCAAAGAGGTTCCCGTCTCCAAAGTTCCATGTGTGAGTGACATCAGGCGATGAGACAGGGGTTGTGAAAAAATAGGGTTCCCTAAGTATGAGGTTATTGTGCTTAGTGCCATTATGTAGAATAAGAATGGGCCCTATGGTCATCTGAACCTCAACCAGAACACTAGAATTTCTTGTGGAGATGTTATTGGAGACAGTCACCATCACGATGTAACGACCTGGATTTTTATAGGTTGTTAGGACATTGTCTGAGCCATGAGTCAGCAGAGGTTGTTCAACTGTACCCAAGTTCCACTGATATCTGTAGGTATATTCTGGCTCGGCTCTGACCTGCAACCGAATCTCTTCTCCGACAGCATAGTGTGTTTTCTCCAGGGTTAGGTTGATGCTGGTTAAGGCTGGCTCTACGCACACCCATTTGAAGAAGTGTGCTTTGGAAGCCTTGTTGATTCCACTCGAAAGATTAAGAGAAAGGTGGTAATTCCCGCTTGTCTTGTAGGTGTGTGAGACTCTGGGGTTCCCGAGGTGTGTCTCGTTAGGGCTTCCATCTCCAAAGCTCCATTCGTAGAGGCTAGCTGAGACATTGCCAGACACCCACGTATCAAAGTTGATCGGGGTCCTTTCTTGGACACATCCGGAAGGCTCTATCTCGATAACTCGGAACACGTAGACCTGCACTGTAAGCAGTGTCCAGCCAGAGCTCACAGCATTTGCAGCAGTCACATTCACTGTGTAGTTGCCATCTTGAGCATAGCTGTGTGACACGTGGGGTTCAGATGTAGTGTAACTGCTGCCATCACCCATAGAGAATGTCCATGTGATATTATTACCTGCCGCAAGGCGTGCTTTCACCACAGTAGGACTGTGAAGTTCTGAGGGAGAGGAGCTTTCGGCTGTTAACTCCTCTATCTCTTCAAATACGAACACCTCAGCACAGGCCCTGGTGAAGCTGATGGTGTTATTTACGGACACGCACGCATTAAAGGCACCGCTGCGTGTGTATGTGTGTGCCACTCGCCGACCTTGAGACTGAGCTGTATCATCCCCAAAGTTCCACTCGTAGTGAATGCCGTAGGGTGAGGGCAATGGGTGAGCTTCAAAATCAGCTGATTTGGTAGCAAGGAGAAGTCGTGGCTCTGTTTGTATATCGACCCGAGTGAGGATGCTGTAGACGCTCATGTTTATGCTCTGACTTTTGTTCTCATAACGATTGGACACTGAGACCAGTGCCGTGTATATTCCTGGAGAGACAAAATAAAAAGAATGGATAAAATATGAATTTGAATATCAATCAAAGGCTTCACGCAGTACGACTTCTGTCCGAAAGAAAGACAAAGGCATACCTGGTTGGAAGTAGGTGTACGTAACGTTGTTGGTTAGGAGGACCTGATTGGGGGAGCCTGGGTGAAAAAGGGATGGTGCGTAGGGAGGCTTAAATTCAAATTCCTTATATCCCCCATCACTAAAAGACCATCTGAGACAGGGGAAAAGTGAAACAATTAAAGTTGAAAATTAAGCAGGTAACTGATGAATGTGTGTCATGATGACCATGCATTAACACACACACACGCACACACACACACACACACACACACACACACACACACACACACACACACACACACACACACACACACACACACACACACGCACATGCACACAGTCAAATGCTGACTGGAAATTGGAAATTGTCTCTGACGAGGCAATGGAGAGTTGGAGGAGTGGAAATTCAATAAGTCTCATTGGACCAAGACTGGTGAGAATGGTGGGAGGCAAAGACAAAGACGAGCCCACAGTGAGGACCGTGGTTATGTGAAGTGGGAGGGAAGTCAATGTGGAAAAAGTGGACGAAACCAGAGAAACTGTGCAGGGAAAACAGCAGAGTCGAAGGGAAAATTTGAGTCAGCAGCAATCTACTCTAACCACATGGTTATAAATCTAAAGTTGGGAGAAACGGCAGGAAAAAAAAGTAAGGAGGAAGGCGAGTAGTGGAAAATGAGCAGTGGGAAGAAAAAGAAAGAAAATAAATTTTATATATATATATATATATATATATATCTCCCTAACGCCATTTGTAAAACGAGAAACACAACACATAAAAATGCAAATGAGAATGCATGCGCAGAGTAGCTCGTAAAAATGAATTACCCCCTTTCAGTGATACACCTCTGCCAAGAATACACGGTTGACCTCGCACTTTGAAGGAATCTCTCGTCAGTTATTAAATGTTCCCAAGCTATGGCACCGAATGGCACAACAAAAGTCAAACTTTCAACACCTATTTATGCATTTTCTCCCTGTTCATACCGAAAAGTAGCCAACACAGATATGTCCACGAGCACAGAAGCGGTGAGTATCTGAGTGGAGCCTTGAGGGACCACATCTGGAACACTCCTCACGGTGAGGTTGGCCATGGGCTGCAGGTGGTCCACAGTGACATTGAAATGCTCCGTGAGGCTGCTGATATGGTTCATAGCCGTCACCTGGAAGAAATGGAAGTGGTCCAGTTTGAATATGCATCATAAGACCGTAAACATAAAACAGAAAAGGATATTCTCAGAGCCCAAGTCAGAAATCAGATATGAATATTGGAGGTATCTGCCAGTGTGACTGATGTCATCTTTATTGTCATTGCAAGTTGACTTTCATCAATCAAAATGCGGCAATTAATGACACGTGCAAAAAAGTCTACCAAACTATACACCCAAGGAAGTACAAGGGAAAGCTCATTTGTATATCAATTAAGAAAATAATGCAGAGGTGACCTGCATTGCCCGGATTATCTGCGAAACTAGTACCATACCAATTGAAATGCATGGGGGACATTGTACATAAGCCCAAGGCATACTAATCAAATTCAATGTTTGTATGTGTCATTTGATGATGTAGTCACACTGACGTGTAGTTCTTAAAATGTAGTTTGGCATCTGTGCATGCATATAAAATAGTTTCAGGTGTCATAGTAAGCGGAGTGACCATAGACAAAATAAATGGTTATGTGCTACAGTCATCAAGGACTCAAGAAATTCTTATGCTGTGAATCTGACACAAATATTGATTCAGTTGTTACCAATTCAATCATCAACTCTTGACTTCGAATTACTCAATGGCACTAATTAAATCAATATTAAAGGGGAGATATCTTTTCACATATGATGAATTTAGTCTTGTAATGTGGTACCTTTGTGAGTGCACTGTTTGTTCGCTCCCTTTGTCCCTTTGAGCTAATAAATAAGGTGCTCATGTGCAAATATATTATTAGCAACAATGACTTTTGCACGACCCTGCATATTCATGCTTCGGCATTCACAAATTCATTTATACAGTCTTTGTTGTCTGAGGCTTCATTTATGCTGAGCGTGCCAAAGAAACTCACTGTGAGCTTGTAGATTGCAGCATGCTGGTAGATCACATTGAGGACCGTGTTGTAATACGTAAAGTAGGGCTTGTCATCAACAGTCCATTTGAATGTGGGATTGGAGCCTTCGAGCACTGACGCGGTGTAACTCTTAACACATGAATAAGCAGAAACATGTAAAAAAAAAAAAAAAAAAAAAAAAAAAAATGAAAGAAAGAAATGGCCCCATTAAAACCAACTAAAAAGCAGAAGTAAAGTGAAAAACTTACCACAACTGACTCCATCAGCACCCTGTGAGCAGGATAGGGCTGGACCACCAGTCCTCTCAGTGGCTCTTCCATGTGAACAATCACAGTCAAGCTGGATTCTGTCATATTATTAAAGGCTTGCAGCTCCACCTGAATTAGACCACCTTGCTCCTCTGACACTAAACTTAGATCCAGTACTGCATACTGGCTCGGTTCCGTGGCCTCTTTCCCTGAATGCGACCTGGGCTGGCACGGTGTGGGGCTGCCGAAAATATTTGAAGGACAGTTTGGCTGAAAGGTAACACTGCGATTAGTTCCTCGTTGAGATGCCCTTGTGGTGTAGCGGGACTGGACATGCAGTAGCACGCGAGTGTCATTGGACTGCAGATAGAGGCTGCCATTCCAGAGAGGTGGGTGTAAAATGGTTAAGCCCAACTGAGGGACCACATGCAATGCGCATGATGCTGAGGTTCGATATGAGGGTTCAGCAGAGGTCACCTGGAACAAAGTGATCTAAGTCAGCAGTTGTCTCACTTATTGCGCAGCTTATTACAACAGGGCACTCAAACCAGTGTAATATTCGTATTTTTAGTTTTATCTAACGCTCGCATGAGTCCAAGCAGATACTCGGTGTGTATGGCCCCAACATGGTTGATATGGGTCAAACGCATGCTGAGATTTGGCATACTTTTATGTCTTACCTGCAGTGTGTATTGTCCAGGCTGGGACAGGCCGGCAGACAGCTGTGCTCCCTGCAGCGAGATCTCACTGTGTCCCACATAGAGCACTCTGATGGGGCACACCGATTCCTCCAGCCAGTTTCCCTCGCCAGCCTCCAGCGGTGATTCCAAGTCAAGATGAGGCCGTGGGCCAACACTGTGGCCAGCTGAACTGTCTTCTGAGTCTCTGCTGGTGTTCATCAAGAGCCACTCGGAGTGGTTGAGGACTAAAACAGGCTGTCGCCACAGTGATGTTGGAGAGGACTGGCACTGAAGAAGGGATGCTGGGCCAGCATTGTGTTGAAGGCCAATGACATCACCAGCGGAAACCAAGAGGTCTTCTAACTGCTCTTGTACCTGAGCGAAGCGGAGTTTAAGAGAGTGAATGGTGACAGAAGATACACATCAGGGTTGAACATATAATCGTCATATTTTAACTAATTACAGCTTTCCAACCTTTATTGAGCCAATAAGTCATAAATTATTTTCTAACAAATGAAGTGAAATTGGATAATTTCTCATGACAGCCCTGATGGCCTCTCATGGCACACTGGAGTGTCATTGCATCCTGGTTGGGAATTGCTGGTCTAAATTACAGCAGTATCTGGAGACTTTTGAAATGGAAATGGTTCCGATTTAAAATTTTAAGCTAAGTTTGTGTGTTCGAGTGTGTGCGTTTGTACTTTCACAAGAGAATCAATGATGATATACGGTGTGTATATATATATATATATATATATATATATAAAAAGTATTCAAAATGTGGGCAGACTTTGACAATTTCATTTTGATGTGTTCTGTAATTTCATTGGACAGATGCGACATGAATGGGTAAATCTATTGACGGCTTGACGTTCGTCAGTAAAAATCCACAAATAAACTGCATCACACTAAAAGCCGCCGGGTTCAAAGTCTAGGAAAAAAGTAACGGCCTATAGCCCGGAAAATACAGTACTTTGTAGTTGCAATAGTTCACATTAATTCAAAAACACAACAAATAAATCAGAGGTTGAAAAGTGTCCTGAAAGGACCGTGTTTGAGTTCTGAGGGTCCGCTTCATTAAAAAAGCTCAATTCAACTCAACTTGATTCTTTGCAGTGGAATGGCACACAGCTGCAATTCCTTAGCTGTTTATCCAATCTGCCCGTAAACAATGTTGAAAATGTGAAAGTCATTAACTATTTCCATTTGAAATATTTCGCATTCAAAGGCAATCAGTGAAAATGTTGACTCTGAAGAAATAACGCTCTCTCTCACCAGAACATTTGCAGCTGGTCCTGCAGGCAATGTGAAGGCCACCTCATCCTGTAGGGTATATCGAGGCCTCAGAGCACCAGGTGGAAGGTGGTGACCTTGGGTGCAATTGGGACAGGAAGATGGTTGACAAGGATTAGAGAGGTCCAGGCATTGGTGCTGGAATGGACACCACTGTTGTAGTCGAGGGCAAGAGGGTGGCTCGGCGTCCCTGGAGGCATCTGGAACGCACATCGCCACTGGTGCGCAAATAGGACCATGGCAACCTAAAGCAGAACATCATTTCCTTTAGATCACTCAACGTTGTTATGACAAAACATGCACTCACTGGACTCTTTATGAGTTAGGTCACATTCAGTGAGGTACATTATAAGCTCAATCATAAAATCCTGCCCTCATAAAGATTGATTGACACTGTCAGAGAGGTTATTAATTTAACAATAAACTTAGAGGAGGCCCGGTGGACCAGTGGTTAGCGCGTTGACCTCACAGTGCAGAGGTACCGGGTTCAATTCCAGCTCCGGCCTCCCTGTGTGGAGTTTGCATGTTCTCCCCGGGCCTGCATGGGTTTTCTCCGGGTACTCCGGTTTCCTCCCACATTCCAAAAACATGCATGGCAGGCTGATTGAACACTCCAAATTGTCCCTCGGTGTGAGTGTGAGCGCGGATGGTTTTTCGTCTCTGTGTGCCCTGTGACTGGCTGGCAACCGGTCCATGGTGTCCCCTGACTACTGCCCGAAGACGGCTGGGATAGGCTCCAGCACCCCCCGCGACCCTTGTGAGGATAAGCGGATCGTAAAATGGATGGATGGATTGTAGGATTATAATAATTAATTCCAGACATACCCACAAAAGATGCAAATTAGCAAAATATATAAAATCCGACAGGTAATAAAAAAAAAAAAAAAACATTTTGTTTTACCCCTCCACACACCTCAACATAATGAAACTATTACAACCCATTTTACACCCCACGTCATCTTATTTGAATGTAAGCATAAACTGTAAACGCTTATGACAGTGTCTGTATAAGATACAATGTACATGCATGCACCTTTAGGAGGTGGCGCCCGGTTGGGTGGTACGTGACGTGTACGAATTTGTGTGAAAGTGTCTCGGCACGATTTCTGGCAAGCTCGTGTGTGAATGTGCTCATTGTTTTTGTGTTTATTTTCCCGGTGTTAAGAACTGAGTGAAATCCTCCTTGGTCCACATGCGAGGGCATTACCGTAAGCAAAGAAACTGTTAAAAACAAACAAATGAATAAATAATAAAGCGGGGCATCGGCGATGAACCAAGATGGGGAACACTGTGTTTCTAATATTACGGTTACCTTTTAGCTATGTGGGAGGGGCATAATAATTTACATGTAGTGCACCTTCTTGATCATCACATCTTTGATCTTCTTTCAGCACAGCTGTGCCTTCATCGAGACGCACGAGAAAAAGGACAGGAGACATTCAAGCTTGAAAGTTCAGCTCATTCAAAGCGTTACTTCCCGTTGGCCTCCATCACAACTTCAGACAGCTTTGGCCAACGTGCGCTTGGTCTTGTCTAGGTGTGAGCGCAGGTGTGTCTCTTAGTGCCAGCTGATGCACAGCAGGAAATGTTCTGCTGCTTTTTACGGGTCAATTGTAGGTGAAACTCACCGGGTAGGAGCAGGTGCAGGCCGGGATGATAACAGTGAGGTCGGTAGATCTGGAATCGGATGTGGATGTGTGAGCCACGCTGCTGTACGACAAACTCAAGGGAGGACAGACGACCCAGGGAAACAAAGCTCAGTGTCGGGAACAGCAAGAACTGAAGGAGAGACACACCAAAGTAGAAAGTTGTCAGAAAGAAGACTCTGATTTGAGAGATAAAATTGGGTTAGAACGAGCTGATATTTCTCCTTGCCTCTATGCCGGTGCTGGATGTTTGTGCAGTCGAGAGAGAACCAACATGTGCTGGAAGTAATGAATTATGGGAGGGAAACACTGGCAGCCCAATCATGTGGATCCCTGTATCTGGAACTTGTACTATTAGAGGGGAAAAACAACAACAACAAATAAATGAATTAAATATGATGATAAATCAAGCAAGAAAATTAAGAAACTAATTACAGTTTCAGAAGTCTCCCGGAGAGTTGCCCTAGCAGCCTTTAAAGCTTTGGTTGTCCCCAGAGCTTTAAAGTTGCCCTAACAAACACGAAACATGTACTGTATCTCAATCTAATTATATCTGTAGTTCATTTTGCATCGGGTTGTTGCACATTAAGTCCTTAATTACTAAAGAATAGTCGTTTTCTAGTTTGTGGGGAACTTGGTAAATGAATGATTTATCAAACCCTCCCAAGCTCCACAAAACGTCAGAAATCTGGCAAAGGGGAGGAAGAAGCGATCATTTTGGCCTTCCTAACTGTGTACACACACACGCACGCACGCACGCACGCACGCACGCACACACACACACACACACACACACACACACACACA